GTTCCTGTTCCTGGAGGTAGGAGTGGAGACAATTCTTCCGGGGGCACAGCAAGTGGAGGCTGTGATGACCACCAGACGACTCTTTGTTCTTTGTCAGTGGCCAACAAGCAAAGGAAAGAGTGACCATGCTGACTGGGTTTATAACCGGCAGACATCAGGGACCAGGACTGACAGCACCTAACAGAGGTGGAGTGGGGTGTGTCTGGACCCCAGGCACGTGACTGGGGTATCTCTAAACTGTTGTCCCCAGCAGTGACTTTCAGTGGGCAAGGGAAACCACCACAACTGGGGGCTGACACCCTAGGGGCGATGAAGGTCTTGGTCACCCCACCAGGCACGGTAACAACCCAGACTGCCCAAGGGAATCCAATAGAGGGGACTCTGTCTCGTTTCCCTAACACTCTTGCCATAGGCTTCCAAGTGAGAACTGGTCACCAACTTGGGGACTCAGCAGACTTGTAGAGAACGAGGATGCCTTCATTCTCAATGGAGGCGTCTGGGGGACAGGAGACCTCATAATGCACCAGGAGAGTTGTATCTAATGGGAGGATGTGAGGGGTACAAAGCGTGGACTGAGTTGGGACACAAAACTTGTACACCTTCTCCAATTCCCTCCACCACTTCCCTCTCTCCTGTGGCTGGCACCCCATCTGCACCAGGCTGCCCACACTTTTCGAGCTGATTGAGGCACACCCTGCAGGCCATAATCAGGCTGTCAGTCACCTAGGTGCTGGATGATGCCACCTGGAGGTGCATGGTAGTCGGTCCCACACTGAGCAAGGACCCAAGAACTACACTCGCAGAGTACGGGAGGTTTGGATGTCAACCGCCCCTCCTGCCAATCACAGGGAATATGGAGAAGGCAGCATGGTGTTGACCAGAACAGGAGACGAGGCGGCATGTGGGGAGCTGAGAAACAGTTACCCTGACCTGCACTAGGTGGGTTGGCACTTCTGGAATATGCCTTGGATTGGCCAAAGACCTTCAGACTATGAGCAGGTTGGAGGCAGCTGCCATCCTCAGGGTCCTGTATCCCCATTATGCCTGCAACACTTGGCATCATCCAGTTTTCTGTATCTCCCCCCTTTTATTTGCCAGCCTGATAGTGGGAAGTGATATGGCATTATTGTTTTGCTGTGATTACTAATGATTTTGAGCATTTTATCCTATACTTTAGCATTTGGTTTGGTTTCTTCTTCTGTAAATTGCATTTCCTGTTAGCTCATTTTTGGGTTGCTGTCAATGGCAAGTCTTTTAATTTTGGTTACAGTCTCACTTGTACAAAAGATTCAAATTTGGATATAGACCAACTACTTTGTTATGGGTTTTGCTTTTGTATTATTCAATCTTGCTTTAAAGGCCTCCCTTTTTTTTTTTTTTAAGGATTTGTGCTGAGCTAATATCTGTCACCAATCTTCCTCTCTCTCTCTCTCTTTTATTTTCTCCCCAAAGCCCCAGTACATAGTTGTATATTCTAGCTGTAAATCTTTCTAGTTCTTCTATGTGAGCCACCACCACAGCATGGCTACCGACAGACGAGTAGTATGGGTCCGCACCTGGGAACACAACCTGGGCTGCCGAAGAGGAGAACAGTGAACTTTAACCGCTAGGTCATCAGGGCTGGCTCAAGGCCTCGCCTTTTAAAATTTTCTTCCTATAATTTAAAATTTTTTTGTTTAGAACCTTTACACATAAGAAATTTATTTTTGTGCCTGGTATGAGGAAGGAATCTGATTTTCTTCCACGATCACTTAGTGAAGCATTATTTTCCACTCTGACTTGAAATGTCACCTAGGTTGTTTACCTAATTTCCAAACACACACGAGTCTGTTTTTTGGTCTTCTCTCCTGTCTGTCTGTTCATGCACTGACACCACTCTGTCTCAGTGACTGAAGTTCAATTTCATCTTCATATCTCACAGGCAGGTCTCGCCCATCCTCCACCCTTTTGTTTCTGCAAGATTTCTTGGCTACTCTTGTACCTTCCTAGCTCCATATACATCTTATATCACTTTTTACATTCTATTTTAAAAATTGTAGCAATTGTATTGGTATTGCTTTCAATTTGTGGGCTCTTTAAAACAGTAATTCTTCTATCCATGAACATGGAATATCTCCTTATTCTTTAGAAAAGCATTGTTTCTTTCCTCCATAAAGGTTTTTTTTAAAAAAGATTATTCTAAGATATTATAGTTTCTGGCGTTATTATGAATGGGATACTTTTCCTATCATATTTTCTAATTGTTAGTACCTTGTTTTCAATATGTAGATAACCTGTACACTAATCATACTGAATTTTGCTTGCTAATTCTAATGATTTTCTCAGGTTTCTAAAGGAGATAGTACTGTTTAGAATTATGGTAAATATACCTCTTTATCACCTTTTCAGAATTCAATTTTATTTTAAAAAAGCATTACATTAATAGCCCCTCCAAGGAAATACTTGACTATGGTGGTAGATATCACCCTTACCTTGATTCCAGCGTCAGTGGAAATGTTGCCAATGATTCATCATTAAGCATGTTTGCTGGGTCTTTTAGATTCCCTTTATTCAGTGAAGAAAATTATCTTCTATTCCTATTACCAGATTTTATAATTTCTCTTTAGATTTTCTATTTAACTCATCAATTATTCAGAAGTGCTTCAAGAGTGTGTGTGTATTTGGGGGGACTCTCTTTTAAAAGGAATTACTGAACAATGGTCAGCAATTAATATTTTGGAATTTGCTAAGACTTCACTTGTGGCCAAGTACTAGGGAAGTTTTCTTCAACATTTTCCATCTATTTGTGTGTAATTCAGAATACCTCTGGCTATATCAGGAGTTAATGGAAGGATGTGAGGAAGGCTCCCAGATCTGCAAGCTTCTGTAGGACTCAAGAGGGGCTGCTGAGGTCCTCAAGCTTCCCCGGCTACAGAGTGCCCGCTGCCTGCTGTGAAAGATGCTGTCAGACCTTGGATTTGGAGGCCTCGAGAGTGTGGCATACTTTCTAAGTGCTTCTTCCCGGGGCCCTGGCTCCACCCCCCAGACCGTGCTCTTCTGTTAAGAGCCCCCCTGCCAGACACAGCACACACCTTCAGCGGGACTCACAAGAGCTCCCAGAGCTTCCTGTGCTCCTGGAAAGGCTCCCTCACCGCCTTCCCGCACCCCCAGAGCAGGGGCCCCCGGAACCGCATGTGTCCTTGGGTGGGGCCACCGTACCAGACGGAACACCACCCTAGCACTGCAGTGAGGACGCAGTGCCTGCACGATTAGCTGCCTTCCCCTAAGGAGTGACCCGAACTGCTCTCCTGGTCACCATGTGTCCAAGCCTCTCAGCTGGACCCACACAGCCAACACTCCTTTATCTGATCTTGTCTCCTGCCAACACCCCGCACCCTGTCCCTGTGTCTTCAGGAAAAACACCTGTGTCTCACCTCACCCACATTTGTCCTTCGTCTTCTGAACATAACAGCTCTCTGTCTTCCTGCCATCGTGTGTATTCATTTCAGCTATTTCCCTCGTCTGCTTTCCCTCCCCGCACTGCCCAGTACAGGACGCGGGGGCCCTGCTTGTCTTCACCACTCGGAACATCACGAGAACTGTGACAACTAGAACAAGAGCTCTGACCCAAAGCCAGCTCCGCCAGCTCACAGGGAGCTCGGGTTTTCAACTGCACAGTTATGCGCGGGGTGAACGTTCGGGGAGGCTGGGCAACGGGGAGATGGGTCCTCCGTGCTGTCTTTGCAGCTTGTCTCTAAACCTGAACTCATCCCCAAACAAACCTTATCTGAGATCAAAACAGAAAAGGCCTTGGACCTCCTCCTTCTGGGGAGATGCCCACACCTGGCCTTCTCCATGCAGCAGACAGGTGCCGTGTTAGGAAAAGCACTGCTGTTCAAGTGCAAACACAGGCAACAGGGGACACCTGGTACCGGGCAGCAAAGGAGCACAGTGCAGCAGACAGCTTTCACCCTTATTTGCTATTTTCTGAGGGATTTTTCCTTCCCATCTTGGAAGGAGTTTTCACTGTGCTGGGAGCACCTACTACTGAAGCGAAGGGGCCAACCCCCCGTCCCGGCCTTACGGTGCGGGCGCGCGGCCTCGTCCGCAGATCACACAGCCCCCTGGCAGTCCGAGGGTTGAAGAAGCACACCTGGCAGGGGCAGCAGGGAGGCTTTCAGGTGGTGGCAGTGATGCCTGTCGAGTGACAGGGCAGTGGCAGCACTACGGCAGAGCCCAGGGGACGGAGACGCAGCAGCAGAGCTGGGGACGGGGACAGGCCGAGCCTGACCTCGCTGGGGCAGCCCCAGCCGTTGCTGCCACCCGGCTCCCCGGGTTCCCAGCCTGTTTCTCCAGCCTCCCCACTGACCCGGGGGGCCACTCTGTTTCCGTCCAGTAAAGTCCTCTCTGGTGTCAGTCGGCCAGCTTGCTGTCCTGTTGCTGGCAGTCCAGAACCCTAAGGACACGCCCACTAAGCCAGCCAGGCTTCCATGTGGACCAGCCCAGGGGCGCCACTTGCACAAAACATAAAACAGACCCCTACAGTTACGCACCGTGGCCCCACAAAACTCACCCACGCAACAGCAAGAACGATTTATTAACACGTGTCTAAAGCACGTAACACAGAACAGGAAGATAAAAAAGATTTCCTTCCTTACACATTTGGACAAGAACTGTTACAACCCCAGCACTTTACACGTGGGCTTTCCCACACCCACTCCTCTCCTCACCCACGATCTGAAGACCCCGGGGAAGCACGCTGGGCAGCTGGGCGTTGGCTAACAATGGTTACCTGCTCTCCTGTTATATTTCATGTCCACTGTCTGAAAAACGGAGACAGTCACACCCACTTCACTGCCTGTCGTGAGGATTTAAGTCAAGTCACACAGCAGTGTCTGGCCCACAGCAGGCATCTGAGAATTACTAATTCCTTTCCCAGTGTTGGTAAAATGATCATTTTAGTCCTTGTGTGTAACAAGCTCTTCACCAAGGTGAGATTATCTTCCCTCGGTGCAGTCACCTCAGCCACGCTGCACTTGGAAGTAATAGGACCTCAGGATACTCGTTCCGATGCTTCTGGCCTCCACGCCTACGATGCTCATACTGTCGCTTTCCACGTGGGTGAATCCACTGCGAAGGGAAGGGACACACGTTTAAGCAGCGAAGCCTTCCACGAAGACAGAGCACGGCCTCCGGACCCTCCCCTCCCAGTCCACCCGTCCGTGTTGACGCTGGGCTCTGACTCGAGGACCTACGTTCACTTGTAACAACTAGCAAGTACCATCACCTTCTGGAGTAGGAATATCAGTTTGGGACCCTCTTGATCGTAGCTGCCTGATTCACAATGATTCCAGATATTCTAGAAACTTCTCCTGATACAGGAGGGGTACCTAATCCAATCTGGGCAGGTCACAGGCATTTCCCCAGAACTTAGAATTAGCCCATCCATCTCCGACCAGCCCCACTGAAGGACATACAGACGCAGGGACTAATGGGGCCGTCGCTTTCCGTGACGTTCTTTGCCTAGACACACAAGTGCTGCTCTGAGTCATGAGGGAGACAAGGGCAGCTGTGTAGAGAACCAGATCAATAAAACAAAATAAAAACAGTGGAGAAGAGACTTCTCGAGTCTCCGCTAGAAGCCCAGTTTTTGGCCACCAATTGCTCAAGTTCCGCTGCTTTGCCTTTCGTGAATCACCTCTCAGCTTACAGTAACTTCCATGCTGACCTCCTGCGTTTCAGTAGCAACTGAAGCTGTACTCAACTTAGACATCAGTATCAAGAGTGGAACGCGGCAGTTTCCAGACTTTCAGAAGACAGCGGCACTGGCTGGTCTACGTGGCGGCTGGGCAGGAGCAGGGCAGTGGCCGCTCCCTGACACGGACAGTCAGCCAAGAGGGTGGAACTAGCATCTACTGTCTTTTTGTCTTTGGAGAATTCCTCTCAGTCTTTTTTATTCAATTGATTTTTAATAAATTTGCAGAGCTCTGCAACCATCACCACAATCCAGTCTTAGATTTCCATCACTCCAGAAAGATCTGCTGTGCCCACACGCAGTAAATCCCCATCCCGCTCCCAGCCCCGGACAGCCACCAGGTCACCTTCTGTTCCTACAGACTTGCCTTTTCTGGGTGTGTCGTGTAAATGGAATCACACAATACATGGTCTTACATATCTGGTTTCTTTTTCTGGCTGAGTAATACTCCCCTGTGTGGATGGACCACTTGGATTTGTCCATTTACCAGCTGATGGATATATGCACTGTTTGGGTAAGTTGAATAAAGCTGCTTAGAACATTCACATACAAGTCTTTGTTTTATTTCTCTTGGGTAGATACCTAGGGGTATGCTGCTAGGTTGCTGGTAAATTTATGTTTCACACACTTGTTTTCTTTAGAGACTCAGAATATGTATTCACAGATGATAACGTTTTAGGAAACTGAAAAGCTCCTAGAAACTACGTGTTCTCTCTTGCGGCACTCAAAAGGTGCCAGAAAAGAGAGGAAATGCAGTCCATGGCTGCCCAATAAAAACTGACAGGGAACAACCGCGTGAAGCAGGACTGCTGGGTTTATGACAGCCGGACGAAGCTCCCACAGAGAAACTACCACCCAACTAAGGATTTCTGGAGGAATCTGCTGTGACTTGGAAAAGGGGCATACTTCAGGGTCATGATCCATTCTGGGGTCCTGATTAAAGCACACTTTTGAGAAGGTATTTTTCAGCGTGCTTTAACCGTCATGGGGAGAACGGCGTCACTTCAGTAAATGGATGTGTCTACCATTCTGTAACGCACGTAGCGCGGTGTTTAAAAACACACGTGAAAAAGAGGTTTCTAACTGCTTGCTAAGCTGAGAACAGTGTTATCTCAGTGAAAGGATGTTCTCACCATTAAGTAATGATGTAGAGAATTCTTTGAAGACACATCAAAAAGGAAAAAAGAGAGTGCATTTTGAGGCCAGCACGGTGGCACATGCCCCGCAGGGCGGCCTGGGAGGCCCGGCACTCTCTGTTCAGCCTCTGACAGAGGCAACAAGAATGAGTGCTGGCACCTGTGTCTCCCTCAGAAGAGGAAGGTTTTCCTGTCGCTGGAGGGAGAACCATGACTGACAAGTCACGAGTGGTCTAGGGGGACAGTCAGGAGCAAGCCCCTCCAAGCACAGGGGACGAGGGTGTGAACGCATCAGGGGTCACCGATCGCCATGTGGACACGGGACGTCCTGGCTCACACATGCTGATCCAGCCCAGGTCCCAAACCCTAAACGTATTTAAAGAGGAATCTCAGGGAAGACGCTGTGGAGGCAAACGCTCTTCAGGACGCAGAAAGAGCATCAAGGTGGCCGTTACACTTTGCTCAGAGAGTTGAGAGAGAGGGTTACATACAGGCCAGTTCTCGTAATATGTCAGTTGATTCTCTACCTAATTATCTCATTAGAAAGTTGAGCTTATTTACTAAGAAGAACAAAGATTTTCTTGTGTTAATTAGGAGTGTGCTTTAATAATTATCTTCAAATGACTACTGATTGAAAATTCAGAAGCTAGATAGGTTTGTTACAGAAATCCCTAATTTCTAAAATATTTGGTTTGGGGCACTGTATTTTTTCATTTAAGATCTAAGATGTTTGTCACTGGAGGCTGAATGTACCCCACGGCTCATGACAAGTAACTGCTGAGGTCTCATCTCACCATGAGTAACCCAGCAGGAATACAAAACCTGTGGAAGCCCTTCCTCTTCGTAGAACTTACTCTGGCAAGAAAAAACAGAAGTGACTCCAAAATACTAATATTAAGACACAAAGTGCAAAATCACACTCTCTCGGACTTTCACAATCCCGCCCCTCCGACTCCCATCACCCCCTTGGTTTGGAAAATGGATGCGGGATTGTGCGGGTTCCGGAGGGAGGGTGGGAGCCGGGCTGCAGGGTCACATCAGGGACCCAACCCGGGCTTCACCATGCGTCCCTGTGGGACTTCGGGCAAAACATCCACGTCTCTGAGCTGTTTCATCTGGGAAACGTGGGTGAGGCCAGCTGAGCGGTGGTTTTGTCCTTAGAGGAGAGGGTGGACGATGCACAGCATCTTTTTTTTAACAGAGGAGGAAACAGAATCAGAGCAGGGACTTGTCCTGCGTCCCCAGAGAGGGAGGAGCAGGCTGGGCTGACAGCCCTGCTCCCAGTCCCAGCCTCTCCAGTGGCATCCTCGAAAGGCACTGCTGGGAGACTAGCTGGGGCCATTTCACAGGCAAAGTGAAGGAAACCAGAAGCAATTACCTGGCCCATCTGTGGGACCCCCCAAGCAAGTGATAGCAGCTCTTGAGGACGGGGAATTTATCTTCCTTACTCCACACGTAGACCCGCAAGGAGAGGTCGAAGGAAGAGGTGACAACTCGGCTCTGGTCCTTGAAATGAAAAGCCGAGTGAGGCGGGGAGGTGGCTCCGAAGGCAGGGAGCGCGATGCAGGCAGGTGGGCGCCCACTCACCACCCACACGGACGTGATGGGCCGCTGGTGGTCCTGAAAGGCTGCCAGCTGCAGGCCGTGTATGGTGAAGAGCACCAGCTCCGACCCCGACACCAGCAGGATCACCTGCGAGCCGTGGCCCTTCATGAGGTGAGGGGGCATCATGGTGTCCGGCAGGAGGAAACTTGCCACCTGCTGTACTATTTGAAATAAAAGCACACAGATCGTCAACTCCCAATAGCAGCTGGGGGTCTGGACCAGACGTGCCTTGCCTATGACCATGTGGTACACTGAGCAGAGCCACGACTTGGCAGTTACACCCGAAGTCAACCCTACCCCGTGCACTCACTCCCCTCGACCTCCCGCTCCTTGGCTCTGAAATCCTGATTATGAAGGCTTTCTTACAGGGGGCTGTACAGATTCAAGGCAATACGCACGTGCAAGTGACGGTATTGGGCATGCAGTACCCCTGCCTGCTACCCTTCCCCATCTATGACAGGGTGATGTAAGAAATGGCCACATGAGAACTATGACATCAGCTAAAAACTACTGTCAAAGATATACTGTCTTTTATACTGTATAGCATTCCTTGTAAAAAAAAAAAAAAAATCATTTGACCATTTCCTTATGGAGTTTAGCACCAGGAAAAAAAAAATTACCTCTTTTGAAGAGTTCATGTGCTTTCTCATACCAGACAAGGGATTATATTACACATCCTGTTTCCCTTTTTTCCTCGGCTGCCAGGAAGTTCAGAGTAAAATTTACAGTCAAATGATGATATGAAAACAAATGAACATAATACAAAAGAAAAAATGCTAAGGACCATAGGGAAGGCCTGTCAGAGTAATGTGGGGTTTGGGAGGCAGCAAAGGATAGGGCTGTGGGTCTTATTTTCCTCCTGGACTAGGAGCTCCTTGGGGAAGAGATAGTTGTGGCCTTTACTCACCTTTGTGTGCACTCAATGCTGAGAACAGTGCCTCTGACATAGTCGTGAAAAGAGAGGCAGGGATGAACGGAAGCAGGAAGACCAGTTAGGAGAGGGGAGACTGAGTGGACAGTAGTTAATGTCCGAACCTCAAGGCCACACGGAGGGCCTGACATGCAGCAAGCACTCCACCGCTCACCAAGCCCACAATCACAAACAACAGAACGTTTGCTGGGCCCCTGTATCCACCGAGAGGACAGAAAAGGTGCCCCCAAAGGAAACATGAGGACCCTGCACTTGAAGCGTCACAGTGCAGCGGTGGTGTCAGTCGACGCCGGGACCCTTACCCAGGATGTCCACTCCATCCCTGGACTTCTTGGCCCCTAGCTCGTAGGTGGTGATCCCCAGCTGCACGCCACCGTCGTTTCTGTGCATCACCATCAGCCGGGCGGCCTCGCCGGGGGCCCAGCAGGCTCTGGCAGTCAGCCAGACAGGGAGAGTGGTGGAGACGGGAGGCTCGTCGTCCGACGGACATAGCAAGGAGCGAGTGTGGAACACCTGGGGACACCGTGAGGTCTCATCGCCCGCCGGGGAGGGAGGGACTTCTCCAGCCCAGGAGCCCTCTGAAACCCCTCCCTAGACCCACACCCACAGCGACCTTACTGGGTCTCACGGGGCGGCCGTGCCTCTCGTGGACCCTCCTTTCCAGACTGCACTGACTAGGAGAGCGAGAGCAATGCCAGCCCGCGTCTGGCCCCCTGGAGACGTCTTGGCGCACCGGCCCAGCGAGTGAGGTGTGATGGATGAAACAGTCAGCGCTTTCCTGTTTCTGAGCCGCGTACGCACCGTCGCGCTTCTGCCTCCAGTGTCTCCCTCTGTGTTCCTCTCCCGTCTCCCTGCAGCCTGGCTCCAGACGCCCCCTCTCAGTCCCTGGGACTGCTCTGTCGGAAGGTTCCGGTGGCTGCAGCCCACTGGTCTCATGGCCTCGCACCTCTGGCTGTCCTCCCCAACCACTGGCCTCCACAGCCACCAGGTCCCAGCACTGCGCTTTCTGTCCTGCTCTGCCGCTTCCTCTGCCCTTCCTCGTCCACCAGGCCCGGCACTTCTCCGACCCTCCCCAGCCATCTGATCTGATCTTCCAGTTCAGGCCCCGGCACTCAGGCTGGCCGTCTCTGAGCCCACAGATCACTGGTACTCCCCCCGGCTCTGGGGTGCTGGGGGCACCGGCAGAGGCACCCACTCACACAGGCCGGCACACAGCAGAGGCACAGCCAGCACGCTGCCTCTCTCGTGCCTTCTCCAGGTAACGGATGCTGCCCCCATGCTGTCAGCATCTCCGCCGTGCCTGACCTGGACACTCTCTCACCCTCGCTCTCACTGAAGCTCTGTTCTCAGGCCACCAAATGTCCCAGGAGCTTTGCCATCAGGATGTCCCTGAGGCCCCAAACCCTTTCAAAACTGAACTCTGCGCTCTCCAGCCAGAGAGCTGACCCCTTCCAGCCCGCGGGCAATACGGCAGCATGGAAAGCGCGGAGGCTCTGAGGACAGAGACCAGCACCGCCGCCAACTCAGCCGGTGGCCCTGAGAAGGCCGTTGCTGCTGTGAACAGCCCCCGACGACTCCTCATCATGTGGTCCTGCACGAGGACCCGCCCTCCCAGACACATCCCACAAGCCTGGGGCACAGAAGCCGCCAGCCCGCGCACACACTGCCAGGCCCTGGGGAAAGGGACACAGCCCGCCACTGACCTTGGGGCCCAGGTCTGAGTTCCGGCTCGACGCGAACACCCACTGGCAGCCGGGCGAGCGGAGGAGACTGGTGGGGCTGCTGGGGAACACGCTCACTCTGGAGAGCAGCTCCAGCCGGGGCACTGCCAGCGCGTAGAGTGCCCCGTCGGCACAGGCCGCCTGCAGAGGGAGGGCCGGGTGAGCACCGCGCCACCGGTTTTCACCTTCACTCTTGAAGGATACTTTTTCTGTTATAGAATCTCTGTTACTTCTCTTAAGATATCATTCTGTCGTCTTGCAGTTTCAATGGTTGCTGTTCAGCAGTTGGACACTGAAGCCAGTTTACTTCCTCTGGCTATTACTGAGTCGATGTTTCTCAGTATCCAGTCAACTCAGTTCACGCTGATGGGTCCATACTTCAGATTTGTTTGTATTTATTTATTTTTATTTATTTTTGTGTGTGTGTGAGGAAGACTGGCCCTGAGCTAACATCTGTTGCCAACCCTCCTCTTTTTGCTGAGGAAGATTGGCCCTGAGCTAACATCTGAGCCCATCTTCCTCTACTTTATACGGGATGTCGCCACAGCATGGCTTGATGAGTGGTGTGTAGGTGAGCATCTGGGTCTGAACCTGTGAACCCTGGGCTGCCGAAGCAGAGTGCACGAACTTAACCACTGTGCCACCAGGCCGGCCCCTCAGATTTATTTTTATTTATCCTGCTTGGGGTTTGTAGGCCTCACTCATTCCACGGATTAATGTCCTTAGTCTATTTAGGAAAAATGTCTGCCATTCTCTCTTCAAGTGTGGCTTCTGCCCCACTCACTCCCTCAGCTCCTCCTAAGAGATCAAATAAGCACATACTGGGATTTTTCATGGACCCTTTATGACCTTGCTACTCAAGAAGTGTGGTCTGCGGACTGGCAGCATCAATGTTCCCAAGAAGATGCTAAAAAGGTGGAATCTCAGGCATCCCCAGGGACCCACTGATTCAGAATCTGCATTCACACCAGACCCACAGGTGGTTCTGAGCCATTCAAGCCTGAGAGGCCCAGCCCAAGCCTCCTACCCGCTCCCTGTACTCACACTCCTGACACCGCGCTTCATTCCAGATCACGTCTCCCCCAGCCCACTAATTCTCCTCTACAGCCCTACCTTTAACCGACGGATAGAATACACAGATGGAGACCGCACAGAACACAGACGGAGAGCTCAATGAATTTTCACAGAGCCAGCATCCGTGTCACCAGCCAAGCTTCTCTGAGAAGTGGAACACTGCCCGTGGCCCAGGGGCTGCCCGCCCTCCCTGGCCTTTCTGTGACTCAGTCGTCCAGCCTGCTATCAAGTCCATCCGCTGAGTTCTGAACCTTTGTTATTCAATTTTTCTATTCTACAATTTCTACTTGGTTCTTTTCTAACTCTGATAAATCAATTTTTTGGTGGGGAAGATTGGTTCTGAGCTAACATATGTTGCCAATCGTCCTCTTTCTGCTGAGGAAGATGGTCCCTGAGCTAACATCTGTGCCCATCTTCCTCTACTTTGTATACGGGATGCTGCCGCAGCGTGGCTTGATAAGCAGTACATAGGTCCACGCCCGGGATCTTAACCCGCAAACCCCAGGCCACCGAAGTGGAGTGCGAGAACTTAACCACTATGCCACTGGGCCGGCCCCTGATACATCGCTTTTTATAGCTTTAAGTTCTCGACTAAAATTAATCTCCTGGAACACAGCAACCGCAGGTGTCTCCGTGTCTGTCTGATAACTGCACTCGCTGAAGCCCCGTGGCTGCACTGACGCTGTCTGCCGTTCATCCTGCCGGTTCCAGTTCATGCTGTCTCATCTCCCTGCGTGCCTAGTCAGCTTTCAGCGTGTGCTGAACGCTGTATCTGGAAGCAGAAATAACGGCAGGCCTGGGCGACGTCATCCTTCTCCAGAGAGGATTTTCACTGACTCCCATCAGGGGCCGGGAGCCGAGGGGCAGCAGAGCCAGGACAGCTCCCTTCCAGCCCGCCCTTACCCCTAGGTTGCAAGAGCTGATGATCCGGATTCACAGGGCTCCAATCCTTGGTGGCCCTGCACTCCCACTTTTGTCCCCTTGGCTGGGAGACGGCCAGCACCTGCAGAGGCTCCTGAGAGCCAGTCACTCACCAGCAGGGAGGGGCCCTCTGGGTGGTCACAGGCCTCCAAGGCAGATGAGGGTGCAGGCAGGCTGAAGGCAGCCCCCTCCTGCCCGTTCTCCGCTCTCCACACTTTGATCCGTCCCCGCGCATCCACGGTGATAACCAGCTTCAGCCGAGGGTAGGTCACCAAGTTCACCAGAGCAGCCGGCTGTAGAGGGCTCGACCAGATCTCCGTGCCCTGGGCAACAAAAGAATTCAAGATCCACTTACATAGGGCCACCGATTTCAGAGACACATTCTTTTCGTTCACTCAACCATCGCCCTGTGCACCCCGGGGCCGTGCAGGCGAACAGGGCGCAATCCCCACCCTCACGGGATCCGCAGCGAGGCAGGGACCCCAACACGGAGCTGTGTTTCATGGCAGAGGAGGTGTGTTCTGGAGGGGCAGCTGCTGACATAGGTGTGTGGAGAGACTTCCCGAGGGCTGGTGCCATCACCAGGAAGGCCGAGGGTCCGGCCTGCACACTGGCATGGAGTGTCTGAAGCTCATCCAGGGGTCACCTACGGCTCACCTGGGGCAGGCTGGGCAGGGGCGGATCCACACGGATACCCCTCCCCTGGGACTTGGCCTTGCATGGCTGCGGACAGAGAAGTTCCTGCAGAGCGCCTCACTCAGTCTTCAGGGTGGCACTTTACAGATAAGCTCATTCGGGCTTCTGGATGTGAACAGTCCATGTTGCACTGCCACCCTGCCCTGCTCAGAACCACCCCCCCAGCCGCGGTATGCCCAGTCCCGGACGCTGGCCCAGAGAAAAACAAGTGGCCCAAGCTGGGTGGATTTCAGGGTCTCTCCCAGGATTCTGAAAACTGGACAGAGAGGTAACAAGCCCGGGTGCCACGGGCCCCACACACGAAGGCAGGGCATCCGAGACCCATCCACTGACCGCTCCTCCCAGAGCTGCCATGGCAGGTTGCTCTCCAATTCTGGGTTTTATGACCCTCCTTCTACCACGTGTTACTATTTTCCCACTAGCTCTCTTTCCCCAGTCATGACATCTCCGTGTTCTGCCATTCATTTCTTTCTCCCCCTCAGATCAACAAACCAATGGCTGACTTCCATCGCTGACACGGCTAACGTGAGTGTCACTCGCACGAACTCGGCACCAGAGACTGGCTAACGGTAAGTGAGTCTTGAAGAATACAGAACAATCCCAGGGGTTAGTGGTTGGAGTGTGCAGAGCAGCAGTGAACCCCCTCCTGTCTCAGAACAGAAGGCAGCGGCCGGTGGAACGGAGCGCAGAAACACGCTGATCAACGACCGCTGGTGTCCCCACCTCCACGCCAGCCATGGGGACGAGGGACGTGGGCCAGGGACAGACAGAGCCTTCCAGTGGGTGGCACCAGATACTCTGATGATAGCAAAAGACAAACTCAAACCCTGGAATTCTCCAGGGGACAGCAAAGAAAACGTAGCATGGAAAGCCATGTCAGAAATCCATACAACCAGTCAAAAATGTGGAGGTGAATATTGTAAGTGTGACCAGAAACCAGGCAAGGAAAGGGTTACTGAAAATCTGATCCATAACTAAATGTAGTCTGTCAAACGTTTTCCAGACAAGGAGGAAACTACAGGTGCTGTTTTTCAGAAGTTGGTCCTCGTGTTTGCAGATGTTGCCGTCCTACAGTGGAACGGCCAGGGCTGCAGCAGGACCCCTGCAGGCTGCGCCAGCTCCCAGCGTCCAAAGGTTACCTGGGACCCGCTACGTAATGGCACGCTGCACTGAACCTGTTATGTAACGGCCGCACACACGCCCTGCTCAGGCCAGGTTGTTATACGGGTGTAACATATCCTCTGCTCTCTTGTGTACAAAGTCTCCACCTGCTCTAACCTCGGGGGGCACTGCTTTGGGAGCTAGCCCCAGTGTTCTCCATTGCTTGTGCAAGCAATAAATCTTTTTTCTTCACCCACTTCAGCCTTGGTTGTGCTTTTCAGCTCTGCACTCACCAAGAGATGGACCCAACGAGTTCAGTTACATGAATACACAGAAAACTAAGAAAAATTTTAAAAAAGAATAATTATTAACTTCAGGAAAAGCAAAATGTTAGTCTACCTCATGCTATGAAAAACATTTACATAATTAAAATGATATAGACAATACATATAATCATTTTGGGACAGGAAGGTCACCCTGTGCAGAGGCAGGAAGAGGAAGGAGCAAAATCATCTTCCACAGAACTCAGCAGATGCCTAACATTAGATGCTCATGTCCCCGATGAGGGGAACACGGTTTCCTCCAAGGTGGGGGAAACTGGGGGCACAACTGGTTTTCTAACAAGCCTTTCAGAGCTCTGACACATGAGCTGTGCACAGCTGCAGTGTTGCTGACACCCCGATCTCGGCCACTCATCTGTGCAGTGACGGCAAAGCACTGCTACGCCTTCAGTTCTTTCTTTCAAAGGAATTGTCGTGAACGTTCACAAATAAGTATTTGAAAAATGTATTCCTGGGGCCAGCCCAGTGGCGTAGTGGTTAAGTCCACAGGCTCCGCTTCAGGGGCCCGGAGTTTACAGTTTTGGATCCCAGGTGGGGACCTACGCACCACTCATCAAGCCATGCTGTGGCGGCGACCCACATGCAAAATAGAGGAAGACGGGCACAGATGTTAGCTCAGGGCCAATCTTCCTCACCAAAAAAAATGTATTCCTGAAAATAGATCCAAAAAAATGTTAAATAAATGATTGGCAACTGACATACCACTAGTATGTCATACCACTAGTATGTAAAGACCCGTCCACAGTGAGGATGAGAAAGGACCACACCACGGCAAGGAAGGAGAGGAGAAAACCACAGCCAACAGTGGGCAGGGGGAAGGCAATATGTTTGAAAAATGTCATTCACCTTGACTGAAGAGCAGGGAAAAGCCTGGACAGAGAGGAGTTAGCGAGGAAACAGAAAAGGCTGGTAAAGATCCAGCACGACAGAGACACAGGCCAGACACGTCACATGGGTTTCTCCATTGTTTAAGAAATGGGTAATTCCTATACTACTCCTTTTATTATTTCAGATTATAGAAAATGTTAGAAAGCTCTCTGATGCATTCTGTGAAAGTAGCAACAAAACAAAATATAGACAAAGATAACATGAATGGAGATGAAAAAATTTTTAAGTATTATTATTCAGAGCCCTGGCAATATATTAAAAGAATTATGTACAGTCATGTGTTGCCTAACAACGGGGATGCGTTCTGAAAGATGCGTCAGTAAGCAATTTCATCATTGTGTGAACATCACAGAGTGTAGCTACACAAGCCTACACACACGTCAGCTGTATGGTACTAATCTCACGGGACCACCGTCGTATACTCAGTCCGACAACGACCAGAACATTGTTTTGCAGTGCATGACTGTACTGTGATCTATCAGGGTTGATTTCAGAAATGCTAGGATAGTTCAAATAATTTATTATATTTTCAAATCAAAACTGAGGAGCCATGGGAAATAATAAATGTCCAAGAGGCACTGGTACCTATTAGTCAAATTTAACAGCCATTTCTGATTTTTAAAATATCTCTAAGTAACATAGGACACTTACATAATAGATAATATTTACCAGGCACCAAAAGCAAATCTCAAATTCAAAAGAGATCTGCAGAGCAAAGGAAACAATGAACAGAATGAAAAGGCAATGTATGGAATGGGAGAAAATATTTGCAAACCATCTATCAGATAAAGGGTTAATTTCCAAAATATATAAGGATTCCTACAACTCAATGGCAACAAACTAACAACTTGATTAAAAAATAGGCTAAGGACTTAAACAGGCATTTCTCCAAAGAAGACATACAAATGGCCAATAGTGCTCAACATCACTAATCATCAGGAAAATGCAAACCAACATGGCAATGAGATGCTCACTCACATCTGTTAAACCGGCTATTATCAAAAAGACGAGAGATAACAAGTGTTGGTGAGGGTGTGGGGAAAAGGGAACCCTTGTGCGCTGTTGGTGAGAACGAAAATAGGTACAGCGAATATGGAAAACAGTACGGAGGGTCCTGAAAAAATTAAAAATAGAACTATCATAGGATCCAGCAATCCCTCTTCTAGGTATTTATTCAAAGAAAAGAAATCAAGATCTTGAAGAGATATGTGGACTCCCAGGTTCACTGCAGCATTATTCATTAAGAGCCAAGTCACGGAAACAACCTAAACGTCCACTGACAGATGAATAAAGACAATGTGGTGCACACACACACTCACACAAGGAATGTTATTCAGTCTTAAAAAAGAAGGAAATCCTGCAATATGTGACAACATGGATGAATCTTGAGGACATTATGCTAAGTGAAATAAGGCAGACACAGAAGGACAAATACTGTAGGATTCCACTTTATAAGGTACCTAAAATAGTCAAACTCACAGAAGCAGAGAGCAGAAGGGTGGTTGCCAGGGGCTGGGGGAGGGGAAATGGGGAGCTGCTGTTCAATGGGTATCAAGTTTCAATTACGCAGGACGAATGAGTTCTAGAGATCTGTTGTATAACATTGTGCCCGTGGTTATTATATGCTTAAAAATCTGTTCAGAAGGTAGATACCACATGCTAAGTGTTCTTACCATGATAAAATAAAAATCAAAAGAGAAGAAGTAAAGGCATACCTAGAAAAGAGTCAGGAACAAGACAGAAATGCCACCACTATTAACCAATATGGTTTTGGAAATCCTAGCTAATGGAGTAAGGAATGAAAACAATAAATACAAGTATCAGAAAATATATGATGAAATTATTATTTTCAGGTGATATTATTATAAATATAGAACATCTAAAAACACTATCATGGGGCCGGCACAGTGGCACAAGTGGTTAAGTGTGCACACTCTGCTACGGTGGCCCAGGGTCCACTGGTTTGGATCCTGGGAGCGCACCGACGCACCACTTGTTAAGCCATGCTGTGGCAGCGTCCCATATAAAGTAGAGGAAGATGGGCACTGACGTTAGCCCAGGGCCAGTCTTTCTCAGAAAAAAGAGGAGGATTTGGGGCCGGCCTGGTGGCGCAAGGGGTTAAGTGCGCACGCTCTGCTGTGGTGGCCCGGGTTCGCAGGTTCGGATCCCGGGCACGCACCAACACACCGCTTGTTAATTAAGCCATGCTGTGGCGGTGTCCCATATAAAGTAGAGGAAGATGGCCACAGATGTTAGCTCAGGGCCAATATTCCTCAAGAAAACAGGGGAGGATTGGC